ATGAGGAAATCAAAAGAAAATACCAATGCATACTGTCTGATGACCCCAAAGTTAGCATTATGCTCCAGCAGTTTGTTATGGAATGACCCAATTCTAGTGGAACTGTGCTGGAAAGGATTTTTCTAACCAGTGTGGGGAGAACCTTGGCTGCTGTGTGAAGAGAGCTAAGTTGGTTGGACTGCAGTTTGTTAAAAAGAAAAAACAAGAGAAACAAAAGAATCCCCTAATTTTATTATCAAGACAGAAAAAAATTCTTTCCAATTGTAAATCTGTCTATAAATGTACCGCATGTGGTTGTGTAAGAAGTTGTGTAATAGGAAAAGTATACCAGCATCTTAAAATTATTGAGAGAGAAATTTTTTGAATAAGGGCACTTACAAAAGCACATGTTAGATGGATATTTGTTCCCTCTGAGATTCTTTTACAGTAGTGCTTGATATTCTAATTCACTTTATTCTGACACATTTCCTTGCCAGGCCCTTTATGCGAGATCTCATTAGTGCCCAGGTCAGGTTGTGAGGATTTTTGTTTGCACAAACTACCCGCAGCAAGTTGGACATAAAGACCAGTCCATTATTTTATTAATATTTTTAGTTATTGTTTTGCCCATTATAATAAAACCAAATCTTTAATGAACAAACTGGAAGAAGAACTAAATTTTTCATGGAGTGAAATTTTTTTGAATTGAAAAGACTTTTTCATTTAATATTTCATCCTGTTACATTTCCTTAGATTTTTTCTTTCAATATGGTCAAAATATTTATTCAGAAAAGTGACGTAACTATAAGGTTTCTTATTCCAGTGATTCTAGACTAAAAGTGTTTGAGTTAGCAGATGCTACATATGATTTGAGAATTTTCTGTTGTTCAAACCCAGTCTTGCTGTGATATGTATAGTATATCATTTAATCCTTTAAATATATCATAAATCCACATTGCCGCAAGTGAAAAAAATGCCTTTTAAAAGGGGCATTCCTTGGTTATTAAAATCTCATGAGGGAATGCTTAACAGTTCTGATTTAAAAAAAAAATTATGCTAAAGTTGTCTTTTAAAAGCACTGTATTATCTATTTCTCAATATGTAAACCTGGGAATTTCTTGCATGTTGATTGATGTGGCCATACTTAAATGTAAGTTCCTAAAAGTGTAAGTTCAGAGTATATTCTCCCATAGAAATTGTTATATTTGATAACTTTAACCATGCAGTCTGTAATGGATAAAGTATCTACAATCTCACTTAGAAACACTAAAGATTAATGCCAGTTTCTTTTACACAGGCAGTGCAATTCCAATCTTGATAAGCACTTTGACGTTTATTGGTGGTGTGGCTGGTGGATCGGGAATTTTTCAGTAGATGGCATTATTTGTTTTTAACTAGGATTTGGAAAGAAGCCCCATAGCACGTATTTTTGTGTAGTCTAAAGCTACGGACACCCTGAGGAACTTGCTGCTTTTTCTTCCAAATGCTGCTTAGATGGTGTTTGAAATGTGCACAACTCCTATGTAAACTTGGTGACAAACACCAAAACTATAGAAATAATGAAGTACTGTATTATGTTAGCAGTTTTTCCCATCACAGATTCCATTGAGATTTATTAAGAAATGTGTCTTCACACTTTTGGCCATTAGGTCACCTTTGATTGGTGCATGCACAAATTTTCAGGTAAAAGAATGCATGTTTCTCTGCAATATACATATGATTTACCTGAGTGAAATAGGAGAATTGCAGATAGTGAACAGGTTCCACTTTATATACAGTCCTAATTTTTAAGTTTGCTTTTGAAATGCAGTATTAAGGTAAAATGATATCTTGTCCTCTGTTCGTTTGAAATTTTGTTACATTATAGTCAAATCCAGGTGTACCTTGAACAGTGGGCGACTTCGTGGCCTGCCTACATGGGGAAATTGGTGTGGAGTAGGCTAGGGTGTGAATTTACAGAGCACCAGCTATTTTGTACTCGCTGCCAGGGTGGGCGCTCATGGTCTGTACAAAGACTACCTGCTGAAGTGCATTAAGGGGCGCCTGGCCAGCAGGGAGTGTGGAATAGCTAGTGTGCCGTAAACTTGGTCTCATCTTACTGTGAGAATGTCCCTTGTGGGCAAGCCCTTAAGTAAACTAGGAGCCAGTACTTTCATTTCAGTAGGCCACTGGAAGCGGTGTTGATGCGCCATTTTACAAAAAATCTTCATGAAAATCCTTCCCACTGTGATAGAACGTTATTGGGAATTGGAGGAAGCACAAGGGATTGTAAAATGGCCAGAAAGATAAAATGTAAGAGAGGACAAACCTTTCTCTAGTCAAATGTGAGCAAGAACAAGCCTTGCCTCTAACAGCCATCTAGGCAGCTTGTGACTTCCTTTACAAAGAAAGAAACATTTTGCAGTTAATGGCAGTACCATGCACTCTGCTACAGCTCTGCTGTTTTAAAAACCAGACCAAATCCTGGGACGCTTAGTATCTGTCTTGTGCTTTTCTTCCCAGTCGACTCTCCTGATGCATTCGAGTTTTGGCTTTGTTTATCATTACTGTTCTTCTGATGTGCTATAAAATAACACGTTCAGGCTAATGAACCTCACTGTTTTCAGAACTCGAAAGGCTTTAAAAGAATCCCCTGACTTGAGTTCTGGAAACTCTGCTAGTGCTGCGTTTGGCCTTTTCAATTAGCGAAAGGTGCAAGTAATTGGCCTTTTTGCTGTCAGTGTATACCAGTAGTAGTCTCTCCAAATAACATAAGTAAAGATTTACAGATACTGAATTGTACCTGGCTGCCAAGTCCTGCTGTATTGGCTTAACTGTTTAAAAAAAAAAAATGTGTTTTTCTTTTGATTTTTTGGCATTGGTGAAATATTCCCCATATCATTGGTCCCAGAAGTGTATGCTCACCTAGTGCAGTCTGTGGTTCTTCATTTCAGACTTTTCCGTTTGCATCTGGCCTTTTCTGGGAGAAATTCCTTGGTAAATTTGCCCCTTGAATCACTTTTGTTTTAGTAGGTTTATACACAGCCTAGCTGTAGTGGTCCCAAGCTAAGCTGTAAGTGAACTCTTGCGAGGTTCCAGCAAGTTGTAACCTGACGCATTGAAACAAGTTAGTGTCTTGTTGCATTGTTTATTTTTGATCAGATAACTTCCTTTGTGAGCTTTGCTTTCTAAACAGGTATCAGTCTTTTTTAAAGAACAGCTGCATCGGGTATCTGCCACCAAAACTGCACTTTTTCTTCCTGGAACTGCTTTACGTGCTGTGGTTGAAGGACCTCCTGCTTTCCTTCCTTCAGTCCATGAATAGTAGTGGGCTTACTTTTTAGCAAGGTGACAGGCATGTATCTTGAATAGCAACTACTTGATATCTTTTATATCTCCATTTGCCAACGAACTTGCAGCATGCTTCAGTCACTTCGCTTGGACCCTCAATCCATCTTGTCAGGATAGATGCAGGCTCTTCATTTTTCACTTCCATATATAGCCTGTTGGTTGCATATTTTGCTGGTAGTACCATTGAATCCCTCAGTAATGGCCACACCTGCAGGAGTAACAGATTACTTCTAGAACTGCAGCCAGTTACTACAATGCTCCCATTTGTAACATTTGGATTTTTTAGCACTCTAGTGGCAGTTGTTGTCTAAACTTACTTGCATCTGGTCTCTTTTCCAATATTGGATGAAAGCATACAGTGTCTATCATTCCCTGCAAGGACTCTTGTTTCCCTAGTGCAAAGTCCACTGCTGGCAATGGATGCCCTAGGAGCCACTGGCACAAAGGATTTGATTTCACAGAAAAGTATTTTTACCCATCTGGAATGCAGCTGCTTGCTTTAAAAGCAAATGAAAGTACCGGAACTAGTTATTTGAAAACTAATTTTAGACCTTGACAACACAAATTCACTGTTCTCTCCTGTTTTACCTTCATTTTTATTTTTTCCCCCCCAAAATGTCTTCTCTGTAACTAACCTGTTTTATTCTCCTGGTTTCTCTTTGCTGGTGTTTATGGATAATCATTTATATGTGCTGTTAATCATTGACAAAAGGATGGTCACTCACCTATGACATGCGACCTCTTTTTAACATGTTTGAAGCTGGTAATTAGCTTTCAGTTTAATTTAAAACAAAAAAAAAAATACAGAAGTTTTGTAACTAGAAACCTTTTCGGCTTCAGCTTTTTTTTCAGTCTTTTCTTATATCAAGTTATCTGCCATATCTAAACAAATGGTACTGGTATCTAGTTAGCTAGCTTTAAAGGGAACTACAGTAATAATACACAGGCCCTTCATGCAGTGAGCTTTAAAGCTCCTAGTACTTCTCAAGCATGTTTTCAATGTTCTCTAGAAGTTTGCTTATACTTTCTCTCCCAGCATAGGTAAGAACTGATGCAGGAGTTATAAAAATGTTCAGCTGCCAAAGGGCCACCTGCTTCCAACTCCTAAGGCAGATGACACTGATCTTCCTTCATTCAAACTGCAAACAGTGAAGTAGCAGTCATTGTAAATATTAGCAAAGCAAAGCATTTTAAAGTTACATACTTCTGCTTCCTGATATCACAGTCATCAGAAAGTCCATGGAGGAAACCAAAGGAGGTGAGGGGTTTTTTTTTTTTTGTTTCTTGGCTACCTTTTTAATTTGGAGAAGTTGAGAATTCACTATGAATTGGCAAATCTGAACTGTCCCGTCTCCCCCCACTCAGTCTCTCACACTTGCATTTTGAATAGGTACCTAAGTGTAGAGCCTCATCTGATGTAAATCATCATCACTCTGCTGAAGTCAGTGAAACTGTGGCTGTCGGTAGCTGAGAGTCTGCCTCTGACGCGTCGCAGCTCTGAAGTTGAGGCAACTCTGACTCCTTGCACTAAAGCCACATTGCCCTGCCTCTGAATTGTGTAGTCGTTCTCTTTCAAAGTGGAGGTACCAGAGCATTATAGTTGCACTTGTATGCCTTAATTTACGTTCTCAGGTTTTCATTTGGAAACATCATTAAATTGCTTCAAGGGCTCTTACGTTTCAGAAATTATAGAAATTTTATCACTTTTTATTGAAAACTGCACTGAACGCTAAATGTTCACCTTTACAATAAACAAATACAATAACGGTAACACACTAAAACAAAACAGATTTCTGATAGCCATTGGTTTTTTTTTTTTTCTGTTTGGGACAGCTTAAGATTTTTTTTTTTTGTCACAGAAACAGGAATGTTCCCATACAAAGGCTCAAAATAGGCCATCTTTTTTTAAACAAAAAGGCGATGATTCACAAAAGACTATGAATATAACATGTAACTAGTTGATACAAATCTAATAGGATTTGTTAAAATCAGTCACATCTAATAACACATTTTTGAAGTGTTCTTGTATAAAATATCACGTGAAGAAAAGAAGACTTTTATCAATGTCTAAAAAAGTGGGTTTTGTTCATAGACAGTCTGACAAGTTACCATAAAAAGTGTTTCCTGAGACATAAGGAAATGCAACATTATTCTTGAACCCTTTCCAGCTCAAGACTTTTTTCCACTTGATAAAATAGCTGCAGATTTAAAACTGAGAAAATATATTTGAGTACAAATAGTGAGTGAAACTTAATTTTTTTTTTTTTTTTTTTTTTTTGCTTTGCATCATTGGAGGGCATAACTGAACTTACAGCTACTTTATTCAGTGTGTTGGTCAGATGACACATTTTCATTTGGTGGGGAGGGGTTGGAGAGAAGTGAATACTGCTATATTCCTTTTCTCCCTCCACCCCCCAGCCCAAGATTCCTCGCCTGAATGGCTATATCTAAACACATTAGGAGAACTTTTCCATATGTTGCTGGCCATGTAAGACTGCAACAAGATAATTTTTTCTTATCTCTAGGCCAGTGTTTTCTCCTACTGCAAGAAGAGGTAACTAAGATACATGAGGAAGGAAAGGGCTGAAGCCACATGATGGTTTCCGCTTAAATTTCTAATGTTAACTCTGTGAGGATTGCTTAATGCAATGTTCTGAATACAGGTTCGTTAGCCCTGCTATTCCCAAAGGTTTGAGAAGGGAAAGATCTATTTTGTGATTTGATGCACAGATGAAGGAAACTTAACATACAATAATAGAAGCTGATCATTTATGTATCACATCCTAGTTTTCAGCGCTTCAGTAAGCAGATGACTTCTTCAGGGTTTCTCCCCAGTCTTGACTGCTATCACTTTGTTGTTAACACTGGAACATCAATGATGCATCTGTCCAAAATCAACATTACAAATTTTGTATCAAATTTTTTTTAGTTCATGTATAACTTTTTTTCCCCAATGTCTCTTGGTCCCAAGTTTATTGAATGATTTTTAAGTTATCTGCTATTGCTCGTTGGGGTGTTCCCTGTTGTCCCCATGTTTTGTGGGCTGATTAGGAGATGGAGCTTGGGAAGGATGTGCCACTGTTGGAAGATTGTGAGTAACGGGAATGCCTCCAGGGATGATGCCCTCCATAGCTGCTGGAATTCCTCCAGGTGCTACACTGACCATGCCAGGTGGATACCTGGAGGAGGGGGGGAAAAAAAAGATGTTTTCAAGTCAGTGTATACTGCTGTAGTATAGAAAAATACACTTATTGAGAGTGATTTAGGGGAGGTAGCGCGGGTGGAAACCAGGTAGCAAAGAAAATTCCATTCTCTCTTAGCCTCTAATTTGTTTAAACTCGTATCTAGTTGATTGAATGCACATATTTTTTTCAAAATCTATTTATCTTGAAGGTGCTTCTTCCTATCCTCCCATGGCTATCCTCTGTTGCTGCAGAAGTGTTTAAATTATGCCAGTAAGCTTTGACGCTGCAGCCTAATGATATACCTTTTATAATTAAGTATTTTCTGATGTTCATGCCTACTGCAGGGCTTTACCAACAAAGTTCCTAAATCGGAAATTCAAGAAAACTGCAGGTTGCCAAAGAATGCATCTGTATTTCTCAAGTGTTTGGCTGGCTGCAGCACTAGCAGGTAAGGGGTAAAGCAAGGATGAAATGGACTTGTGCAGGTTGCAGCAGCCACATCTTCCTGAGCAACCTCTGCAATCTTTGTTTTAAAAAGGAAAGGAGAAAATACTCATTCAAAAAACAAAATAATTCTATTGGGCAGCTGTAGAGGAAGGAAGAAGAGAAGCTCTTTAGCTGTGTGGAGGAGTTCTTTAGTATGTTGATCATGTGCATATTTCTGTATCTATGCAACTTAAAACGTTTTGCCCTACCAGTATCTGTATAACATGTACGCATCGTCCCTCTCTCCTATTAAAAGGGTGATGTGCATTTCCTGTTCCTTGGTTCCCCTCAGCTGCAGAACTCACAATACAAGGAAGATGAGAGAGGATGAAAAATATGCACACCACAACCCAAAGAACTCCAGTTAGCAGTAAGCAACTTATTTCTCTTTCCGAGTCCTTTCCATATACCCATTCTAACATGACGGACTCCAAAACAGTGCCCAGCTACTGGAAGCCTGGGCTCCAACTCCTAGCTCAACAGTGGCTGCAGGCCTGCTTTGCCAGACAGAACACATTTCAGAGGTTGTTTCAGTGCAATGCTCAGGTGAAGATGTTCATGGGTGCTCCAGGGGCCTGCCTTGAACATATCCATACCTAACACTGGCAATAGGGAAGCCACTGAAGCTGCTGTTGGAACAGCTCTGACTACTGCTGCTTAGTTCACTTAAATGGTCTCGACCCTTTTGGATCTCGGATGGTGTCAAACTGGGCCTAAAATTGCTGTATCTACAGATCTTTTACCTAATGAAATAAATAGCTGTGGGAATTTTCTTCTCCAGCAATGGCATGCTCTCAAGCAGCCAAGATTCTGGGGAAAAGGGGAGAGTTGACTGATTTGCTGACAGGCCATTTGATGCCAACAGCAGGTAGAAACAGGGATAAACCCTGTCTGAATAAAAGATAAGTGAGGGCATGCAGTCTGTACTCTACTTCTGTGCATCCGTGTCAAGGTCATGGCTAAAAAAAAAAAAGCAGTCTTCATAAAGAAATGAAACACTGGTCAGGTTGCCATGGGTCCAAATGGTAGCCCCATCCAGGATGTGAATAAAAGATTGAGGTCCTGTGGAAAATGGGATCCTTTCTCAGAAGAAATAGTTGGGTAGGCTCTCAGGAGCTCCAGACCTGCCAGCTTATAGAAGACAGATCACCTGTCCTTCCAGATGCATCCTCACTTAGTGGTGGGACACCAAGGTCGTGTAGATAGGACTTCAGCTCATTTGAAAACTTCCATTAATGATTAATATAATACTAAAATATGTGTTACATAAAAATACAATTCTTGGAAAAAATGGGGTTTTGTTTTTATCATGGTGGGACCAGGGTTTTTTTACAAAGGTTGAGATCTGTGGCCCTAGCTGACCTGTCACCATGCTTCAGCCCTGACGAATACAGTTGATAGGAAAGCCTAAATATAGTTGAGGAAAGGGTTTTTGTATGACACCAAGTCCACCTGACTAGGTACATCTGTTTAGCTGAGTCTTTCGTGCTGTGGAAGGAACTGAGGAGGCAGCTGTACTGTAGGTGTGAGCTTCAACTATTTTGTGTTTGAGTTGATGTGCACTTCTTACCCCAAAGAGAAAAGTTTGTCATAATGGTCGTCTATGGCTCGAAGGAGAAAAATAGGACTCCCTTGCAAATACTGGCTGGGGCTTTCCATCATGGAAGTGGAGCTCTGACCAGCACAATTATTCCCATCCTGGGGAATAAACAGCCTGTAGGAATATCTACAAGCATCCATGGTGCAGTCTGGCATATGGTATCATATCAACAGGGCCATATGGGCTACGATAGATAGGCAGGCCCTGACTGACTGGCTGGCTTCCAACAGAGAATTTACCTCATCTTGTAGAAATAAACAGTGATAGGGAATGCAGTGCGGCACTTAAGAACTGCAATCCCTAATGTGGGACTAGGTATGATCAAGGTTGAATCAAAGTGAGGATGTGAAGAATCTCTACCAGGTGTTTGGAAGATCTAGCCTTTGGCAGTCAATTGCCCAGGTAAGGACATGGGGTGGGGGGTGGTGATCAGACACCCCTTCCCCCATTAAATAAAAGTTGAGAAAAATTTCTTAAAAGGGGAAAAACAGAGAGGATTTTTTTTTTTTTTTCCAAAAGACTGTAGGCCTTGCCACAGCTATGGAGAAGAATTGAGGGGCAGAAGTACTACTGCCCTTGCCATCACTTAGGGGCATGAGACAGGTGCGTACATGTGTGGGTACTGTTAGCGTGCTGGTGGCACATGGACATTCAGTGTGGACAAGCTCTTGATGGAGAAGGTTCATGTGCTCTTGGTGTGAATCATTCCCAAGGTGTTCATATCTAGTTTCAAACCTTGTTAGCAGCGTTCAGTAGTAACAGAGAATGTGCCAGTGTGAACAATCGTAGTCACTTCCTATGTACAAATAGCAAGAGATAATGCAAGAAGAGCAAAACTTCTTGTATTTGCTAATACCAGAACTTGCAGTTGGCTTATTTGATGGATAAATTACACAGAAGACTTCCTTTCCTGCTAGGCTGTTGCATGTCATGCTTCTGGATTCCACACTGAAAGCAGTCCTTTTAAGGGCACAGAAGCCTTCCTGCAAAGACTTGCATGCTCAATATTGCATGCTAACTACAGTGTATGAGCTAAGCATGTGTGTAAGTTCTTAAAGTCAGGGCTGGTGCTAGCAGGAAGCCATGATTTAATTAAAAAATAAAAAAGCTTAATGACTAAAGCTGCTATTTCCTATTGATGACACGCTCCTGCAATCTTGTTCTGCAGTCTTAACCAAAGAAATCAACTGCTTGGTTTACAAAGATCTCAGTAAATCTTATTTGCAGGTTTATATTGGTACACACTCTCAAAGGTTCATTTTGTGGTACAGGAGTGTCACCTTGTGAGCAGGATAGGTGGCAGTGAAATTTTTTCTCAGTAGCATCAGCATTGACAAGATGGTTATTGGTGATTAATACTCCAGCCAGGGTATTTGGTGGAGGCTTCTTGAGGGTGTATCAGAGAAAATGTTGTGGTTTTAATTAAGTCAATCTTGTAAGAACAGCATGAAATGAACTTTCTTTGCAGTCTGGATCTGCCCCTACTCTGCTGATTGGTAGGTGAGAAGGATATTAGGACACCAGATGGTTATGGACATGTTGTAAGGTTGTGTGGGACACATGGGGTGTGTCCCGATGAGCATGCATGTGCAGTTTGTGGTGCCTCAAGCCCGTTTGAGGCACTGCGAACCACACACAGGGCATGTGCACCCATTTGCTGCGCTGATAATTTGCAATGCAGTTCTTTTCACACCCAGAGATCCTGGTGTCAAGAAAAAGGGTGGCTAAAGTGGCATGGCACACATGGCAACAGTGTGTGCCACCAGAAACAGGGCCTGGCCAGGCTCTGAGTGCTCGGATTGCTGGCGCTGTTGCCCTGGGAGGCCCCGGGACCCCAAGTAAGGCTGCTGGGGCCAGCACAGGTGCTGGTCCCAACCTCCCCTACCCCACCTGGGACAATTTGTCCCACACCAATGTCCCATGTAAAGGGGGGTGTGCAGCAGCAAAATGCAGCAGCATAAATTCGTGTTGCTACTATTTTTGCCGTGGCAACCGCATGCCCCTGCGTGTTGGGTGTGCCCCTAGAGTAGCCACAAGGATACTTGCTCTGCACGTGCTCAAAAAATGTAAATGCCATTTGCAATGAGGCTCCAAGTGCAAGCTGCTGCCTGTGAGTTTGTATTTTAGACAGTTGGTAAAGGCTGTATCAATGCCTTAACTCCATCCAACTCTTTTCAGAACAAGCTAACATAGCCTTACAGTATAGGAAAACATCTCAATAGCTAAATTTTAGAAGGACTGTGGGCAAAAGTATGAACCAAGGATGAGGAAATCTAGGTCAGTTGAGGCAGTTGCTACTGAAGCTTTTAGGATGACTTCTGGGTGGGGTGGAGGGGTGAAAGGGAAGATGCACTAGCAGCAAAACCCATCACCTTTCCTGTATCTTCTGTATCCACTTGTAGCTTGTGGCAAGAGAGAATAGTTCTTACTGGCAGCTGAAATTTGCTTAAAAGATTGCTCTTGTCCCCACCCCTGTTGGCTGGTCGTGACCTCCACCTGGATCTAGATCTGGCTGAAATTCCCCCATACTGGAAAATTCTCCCTTGCCAGGTTAGGGCAACTTCAGGGTCCCATTTTGAGCTGGTAGAATGGCAGTGGGGTCAGTCAGGATCAGATCTGGAGGACAGAGGAAGAGCGAGGCTGTGAAAAGGCAGATGGGTACCATGAGTGACAGGGCAAAGCTAAGACTAGGAAAGAATTAAGAGCAGTTGGAGAGGATGCAAAGAAGCATGGCAGGAGGGGAGCTCTATGACGAAACATACCAGAAGTGCACAGAGGTGAAGAGTTGAGGACAAGGCATATAACTTGTGTAGTGTGAAGGAGATTGCTGAGATAAGAGTGCCAGGAGGCAGTGACCTGAAGCATACAAGGACCTGGCAGGGATGAAGATGACATACAAGGAGGCTGGAGTGGAGAGGTCCCAGCAGACAAGATGAGATGAAACTGCCCTGTGCTTGAGTGATGGCTTGTCTTTGCTGCAACAGTTATCTGCACTACTTCATAGGAGCAATCTCACTGCAAAACAAGGCAGCTAGATTGTGATTTGATTAGCAGCCTGTGGTGACTGTTTTAGTAGATGACAAACTGCTGTAACTTGTTGCTCCATTCCTTTTGCATTACTGACTTAAACATGAGCACTTGAGCTCCAGTCTACTTCCGGGGTGGGCTAGCTACCTCAGACTTACAGAAAACTTGAACTATGCCCATTTGGAGCAAAACTCATTAACGCTCCAGCTGATGATAGTGGGAACCAGCTCTGGAGAGAGGAGAGAAAGAAAGCTCTAGTGCTACTGTGTCTAGAGGTGCAGTGAGCAGAGGGGTTGTGAAACAGCTGTTCTCATGGTTAATTTGGTGGATGGAGGAAAGCTACATTATCAATCATAATGGAGAGGAAGATGGAGGTAGGGAGTCAAACCAATGCTGAGCTTAAGAAGTAAAGGTGGCTGTTAAAGTGTGGGAAGGAGGAAGCTGGTGGCAGCACTGGTATGGAGAAGGCAAAGTCTATACAGGGTCAAAGAGGCAGCGGAGTTAGGAAGTTTGGGCAGCAGGGAGAGACTTACATGGAAGTCAGAGGAGAAAGTGACAAACGAAGTAGGTAGTCTCATCTTAACTGGGGAGGGAGAAAAGGTCACTGTCAATCACAGCTTCTGAATTCCATTGAAACCAGGGTTTTTCCCACCCCACCCCGCAATTAGATGGATGCTTCTGCTCAAACACCTGTTGTGCTTTGGCTCATTTTCTCTCTTGTGGCTTTCAACTGCTTAATTTTGACTGGGGGCAGAAAGAGGACAGTACCCACATAGCCTGCTGCAGGTTTATTACCAACCTTGTAGTCTGGTCTCTGCCATTTGTTGGAAAAACACACACACCTATGCATGAGCATCAGTCTCCTCCAAATAGGACTGGCCCATTTCACTGCAAATGTATTTTTTTGTTTGTTTTACCCATCCATGTTTTACATTATGTGCTCAACATACCACCTTCTGCTTCAGTGTGTGCAAAAGGTGCTAACAAAGTGGGTTGGTTGGGTACCAGCAGTAAAAATGTACATGTCCAACAGTGAAGGCAGGAGCCTGCACCAACATGATGGTGCCCATCCTGGAAGGGCACATCTCGGTGCTAGCATGAGAAAGCCCAAGGGCTAACATCTCAGTTTTGATGCCTTTCATGTACTCTACCAAAGCATCATGAGCAGCTGTGTATGTAACTCTTATATGCAACAGTGGAATCTAACCCTACACTTGTACAGAGAGAGAGAGAGAGAGCATACACTGGTGTCCAGTCTCTTGTGTTTCATTATGGGAGTTTAATAGAAGGCTGAAAAACAGATCACTACTCATTTCCCTTTGTCTTTTCGGTTGCTGCACTGAAGTTAACAATACCCCTCTTCCCTCCCACCCCACAGCAAAAGTGCCCCCATGCCTTATGGAGTCTTGAGAGTATTTTCAGAATGTCGCTAGAGTTTTCAATTGACTCTTTATTCCACAGTGAGGAGCACAGGAGATGAGACAAACTCCAGGAAGTGCTGCTCCAGGAATACAGCTGGAAGTGAAGCAGGCTCTGCAGCAGAAACCATACATTTGGGCCATGCTATGGCAATAGCCATTCTGTGGCCTCAATGGAATCAACATGTAAAACTAGGATTCCTCCAGAATAATAAATAAGGACATTCCCAGTAAATCCTCCTGAATGACTGCAGAGCAACCACACGTAGCTCCTCTGTGGAGCCAAATCCACAGAGATCGGGAGAAAGCGGCATGTTTTCAGTGTTGCATATGGAATTCAAGATGCATCTCTGTAAGGGAACCTGAATCCTTAGAAGTGGTTATGAAATTACTTTACTTCATCCTACCTGTATGTGGCACCATTGAGCTCTGGATGAATTGCTTGCTGATCTATTACTGACCATGGAGCTGTTGTGACAAAGAATTCCTTGTTCACACAGTTTCTTAGGCTTTCGGGGATGCGACCTGGAGTAGAATTATTAAAGTAAGTGCTAGGCAAATTACAGACTGATTTGACAGACAATAAGTTACTGTTTTCCCATGTCCATAGTGCCTGTTAGTGTGTGCAGATGCATGCATGCCATCATTTTTTTGGAATGTTTTGGATGGCGTGAGCTCTGTTGCTGGAGCCAGAACAGCAGTTCCCTGTGCTAGGCCTTTGTGATTCTGGTGCACTGACATTTATCAGCTTTATTTTCTGCTGATTTTGTTAAAGCTGCAGTGAGCCATCAGGCTTCAGCCCCAAGAGGAATAATATTTGGTGCAAGGTGATGGGTGGCAAAAGCAAAACAGCTGGGATATTAGCATATAAAAGAGATGGGAGGGGGGAGGGGGAGAGGGGGGACTGTAGCTACATTTGTAAACTTCCTGGTCGGGGCCAGCAGTTTGCCAACTTGGTCTCTATTGCAGTCTCATGGCTATTCTAGGTATGCTGCCTTACCCAGCACAGTACTGCAGCACAAGCTTATCCCCTTCTACCCCCCCCCCCCCAAACAGTGGAGCTGGGCATGGAGGGGTTTAAATAGGGCTGGCCTAAGCTGAGGCATGGAGGGGTTTAAATAGGGCTGGCCTAGACTCGTGTCCTAATCTTAGCTGTATGCAGGTGGTACCTGCACCAAACCCAGGAGGGAAGCTGGGGACTGGCTCTTTGGTGTTTCCCTTTTGGCTCTGTGCTTTAGCGTGTTGTAGTTTACGGTTAGTACCCAAAGCCCTCTGCGTGCCAAGCTCCCTGATGCGTGTGTTGTACAGTTATTCTACAGCAGTCTTAGCAATGGATTATTTTTTAACAGTCTTGGTTTAGTTGTGAAAGAAATGGTGTGTTTGCATGTGTGTGGGCACAGCCCCGTATGTGCATGTGCGCATGTACATGCACACGCTCACTCACTCATGCGCACACAGCATCAAGCTATATGTACAGATATAACTTTTAACCACTTTAAAAGAGCTTAGACATGTTGACAGCATGTAATACTGTAACAGTCACATCTGCACACTCCTGCAGGGATACAAAGAACCTGCAACTTCAATCCTATATGTTAAATATGCAACAGCTCTGTTGCACTTGTGTGGCTCTGTGCACTTGTGTCACAGCTATATGATAGCAGCTGATATAAGGAGTATTTGACACGAATCCAATTAATTGTCTGTCTGCACCCTCAGCTCTATCACCATTCATTACAACTAATAGAAACAAACTGTCTGTACCAACACTGGTACTCAGCACTGAAAGGTGGTCTCAGCTATAATTTTCAATGTACACGTTTCCCTCGCTTCATGCGGGTTCTATACGTGTGAATTCGCTCTTATGCAATGACCCTTTTTGTATCAAAAGTTAGTTATATGCAAAGTAAATTCACTCTTATGCCATCGGTGTGGTGCAAGCCTGCAGTCAGCTACTGTGTGGGGAGCATTTTGGGAGTGATATGCACCAAAATATGCTCTCCTATGTGGATCTGTGCTCCTTGCTCATTGTCTGTGACACGTTTCTGTAGTTGCCATTCCCATGATGGTAACATTCAGCACCACCTTGTGCTTGTGTGTAAAACTTGTCTTGTAAAAGTGGTAGAAATGGGTCTGGGGGTCAGTACAGTTGAGGTCTTGGAACATATTCCTATATGTTACATTGTAAAGTAGGCTGCCTTTATGCGAATTTAAGATGCACCGTTTTCCAGGAATGCATATACAGCATAAAGCGAGGGGAAACATGTAAATCAGCGTTTCCCCCGCCTCAACCCCTCGCCACATTTCCACGTGGGTGCCTAGCACCTCCTGAAAACTAAGTCACTGAGCTTCTTCCTGCCTCTCCCACTCAGAATGAGGGTAATAAGACCTGAGCACTTGTATCACATCTACCCCTATTCAACCCCTCTTCATACTGGGCCATAAATGGAGTCATTCAAAGTAACAGCAGCTCAGGGGAAAGCTGTGTCCCGTCCAGGGCTCCTTCCTCTGAGCCCAGCCCAGGGACATGTTGCAGGCAAACACACACAATGTGCACAAGATAAACAGCTTCCCTGCAGTAGATACCTGTGATCGCGCGCCGGATTTCAGTAGCAGCAGCTTCTCGCATCTCTAGTGACGCCTGCTCGCTGTACCAAGCCGTGTGCGGAGTACAAATTAAATTAGGGGCATCTTTCAACGGACCTTGAGCAAAACTATATGAATGCGAAAAATCAGGGTAAATAAATTACTAAGGGTGAGAGCCCAAATGGCCAGCCCCCTTCACCTGTGAGCCGCTCCCCAGCTGGCGCAGTTCTGGCCACCAGTACAGTATGGTGGAGGTGGAACACCCCCAGCTTGTCTAGTCTGAGGTGAATGGGTGGAGGGTCTCATGATGAGCACGGCAGGAGAGGAAACATGAACAGAGTGGAAATACTGGTGTAGCACAGGGCTTCCCAGGTCATTGGGGGGGTTGGCATTACTACATGAAAGTCAGCAGTTGCGTTAAAAAGAGCAGATGGGTTTGAGAGCTCAAACTGGAGGATGATTGTGCCTAATATGCCATCATTTGTATTAACAAGGAGAGAAATGACTGGGCATCTTTAGCAGCAACTATCACTCATCTGTCAACAGCAGACTTTGTTTCTGAACTATGGATGGCAGGGGCACAAGTTACTAAAGGTGGCCAGTCACAAAAGCTGGGATTTAAAGGGACACTGCAGGGTGGCAGGTGTGTGTTTGTACATTTGTGCTTAACTG